TGTTTTATAGCAGCACCTGAGAAGGAAATCACTTAATGTGATCTAAATTGTGCCAACTTTTTGGAACCAGATTGTAGAAATAACTCCTTAGCCCCATATTTTTCTCGTGAATTGAGCAAATGAAAGGTGAAGTTTTTAATAGACAATAACAGATGAAGTTTATAATCCAATGGTCTATTTTTTGAATTACCCCAGTAAGTGGATTGCTCTTTTAAACATATTTCTGTTTTCAGCTCCCTCATTGGGAGGAATTTAGATATTGGAAGATACAGAATATTATTTTCACCAGGCAATCTAATTTTCCTGTATTCGATGTCTAGTACAATTTGTGGAGAGGTTTTACCAAACAATTATGTAAAGAAAGTTAGGCTTCGAAATCCACTCTTAAACATTTAAATGGATTACTTAATTTTCAGAAGTGCTCTGCAGCTTACATTAAAGTTAAGGGATATTTATTCCCATAGTTTCACTTCAGATTCCTTTCTAAATAAAATAGCTCTATAGCCAAGGTCTGCTTTTTTTTTTGTTAGACAAAACTCCTGATGAAGTTATAGGGAGCTGATTAAATTACAATTTTTTTAGCTCAGACAAGTAGCTATGGGTTGAACACATGGTGAAAGCAGATAGGGGAGTTTTCACACTTATGTCATGATGCTAAATCATGAATCAGAATCTTGCCCTGAGCTAGGGAGTTCATTTCATCTGAGAGGACAGTGTAGTAGTAGCATAAAACATTGGCTGTTGCTAGCAGAAATATAAGCTATATGCTCTAGTAGGTATAACTCGTTTAGTGCAAGAGTTGTGTGCAGCAAAATGAGATTAAACAGAAGCAGCAATGAAACATTTTGGAGATGAAAGTCTGTGCCAGATTTAAAAACTAGATATATCTGCATAAAGCCCAAAGGAAATATTTATATTTCATTCCTCCATTTATATCTTCATTGTCATTAGTCTTTCAAACAAAGTACATCTTACAAATAATATGAGATAGAGATTGGCATCTGAGCGTGACGGAGTTCTGCTGCTGGTTCAATAGGATTTGAGTCTGTTAAAAATAAGGTTTAGGCTGGCACTCAGAGTTGGAGATGGTATTAGAAAATAAAGCAATGGAAGACAGTTAGTGATACCTTAATTTCCTATACTTTCTGCCTCATTTCATCTTCCAAGCTGCAGAGAGGTAGAGCTGGAAAACTAAAAGGGAGGAAAAAATATTTTAGACTATGAGATGTATCTGATTTTATTTCAGCTGCTGTTTCGTATCTTAACACAGTAAACTTGAAGGAAGATGCAAAAGAGAAGTCCACAGCTAGTGAAATAATAGTGAAGATATGACACCCAAAGTAGGCACAATCTCAGGTGTTTGTCTAGCAACAGCTGTGTCATCAGCAGAAAAAATGCTGCATCCTCTACCAGTTTATTTTTCCTCAGGCCAAAATCTAGATCAGAGGTGATCAAAAATTTTAAAGGCCCTTGAAGAGAGAGTGTCAAAGTCATCAGAAGGACTACTAATTACACTGCCAGAGCCATTAATTTTCTTTGCCAATGAAGGGGTTAGCTAAACTCAAGAGAACTTGCAAAGCATAAATAGCATCCATGTGTAGGTTTTTTGTTGCTTCTGCTTTTTCCCTACGATACGTGCTTTTGCTGCTTTTACATTTTCTCAGAGATTCATGCTTTGTATCTTTGAGGCCTGTATAGGCCAGGCTTTCTCCCTTAAGTGTTCACCATCGCTGGTTTACTTAAATGCATTGTCACAAACCCCTGAAAGAAAACTCCTGTGGGTGAGTCCTATGTTGTAGCACGTCTGGAAACTGAGCGGGAACAGCCTCGCAACTTGCTCTGCGATGTCCTGCTTGGTGTGAAGGGGAGCGAGCAGGGCCTGTCACCTAAAAGCGTGGGCCCACTCTCCTCTTCCACTGAAAGGAACTTAAATGACCAGCTTGACAGGTCAAATATAATGTGGATCCTGTCTCCACTCTTAGCTTTCTTCTCCCAAGTCTTTGGCCTTGATAAAATAGCTTTGTTATAGCTCAGGACCAAGTCCAGAGAGTCTCCTTTTTACTAGGACAATTTCTGCCTATTGTATCTCACTCTCTGTTTTTTTTTTTTTTGGTCTTTCCTCTTTCCTTCTTGGTTTATGCAACACATTCCTTTGAATTAATTTGGTAGTGGATAGCTGTTCACAAGCAATGGATTGATCATATTCATAAAAAAATCCACTGATACTTCTCAGTTTTTTTCTCACCTTCATGATGTATAAACTTCTCATGTAGGATGGAATCAAACAGGCAGAAAAGCAAACGTAGTGTGTGAAGGATCCCAAATGGCAACTGTTCCACAAGTACTGCGTGCTCACATTAGGGATCTGTGGGAGGACTGTGTGCAGCAGGATAGGTGGTTTGCAGCATGTGCTGTGTTCGGTTAGCAGTCTGTGTGTAAACCTGAAATCAGATGGGTGATGTGGGTGTATCTTACTGTTGTACTGTGGGCTAGTTTGGTTACACTGTGTTACTGGGAACAGCATAAACAAAGCTAAGGCAACCATTGTACAAATGTAGCCTGTGCAACGCTGAACAAACTGCAAAGCAGAAATGCAGTCTTGAAGACGATGTTCTTGCATTCTTAGAGAACGCTTTTGAATATTCAACTCTCCTACAAGTGTTACAGAACTGTAAGTAACAGTACTAGTATGTATTAAAGTTAAGAAGTCAGGGAAAAGGGCGCTGGAAAATACTGTGCTATAAGTTATCATTCTTAATGTAATTCCCAGCTGTGATAGTATGATCAGTAGTAGCACTGGTACCAAAGAGGTTAATGGATAGCATCAGTGCCTTTAAAAGTATACAGGTATTGGTTTTGCATCTCTCCTGTGCTGTCATTAATGACAATTTCTTAGCCTAACAAACTCTATGCGAGTTTGTGAACCTGTATGTTTTCTTTTCCTATTGTATGAGAGTTACAAAAACTACTACTGGACAATCAGGCCTGCAAAAGATTGGCATTCCAGTAACATTTTTTCTTCCAAAGGTGTTGGCATTCTTGCTGAATTCTGGCATTCAAATGCTCTGATAGTTCTCCCATTACTGTTACTACATCAGCTTTTAGCCGCATATCTTGTTTTTGACTTTGCAGAATGCTTTTTTATGGGAGGAGGGGTAAGTGAGGAGTGGGAGCTTGATCTTGTACAAATGATACTTGGTAGAAAAATTACACCAGTGTACGGAGCAGACTTTGCTTGCACCTCTGCGAGTACTTGGCTATTACAGTAAAAGCCTTCTTGCTGACACCAGTCATTTCCGTGAAATTTAAGACAGCATCTTTGGGAGAAAAGATTTAATTAACACATAAGCCCCGAGTCACTATGACAGTCTGCTTTCATAGTGATGGGAATATTCACATTTCTACCCACTGTCAGTCATTGAAATATAGGGTTTTTATGGATAATCTATAATACATTTTTTCCCTTGCAGAAACAATCACATTATTTCGTTACTTTCACACAGGAACATTTCTGTCTTATATAGCTAGAAAAACTCCAAATTTATCTGGTGCCTTGAGGGGCTACCTGTGCTTGTGTGACAGGAGGTCTCTGGAGCATTTTGGGTTAGTAACATAAAGGGAGGCTGAGCAATTCCATCCTAACCAAGGTGCACATGAGATATCCTGTTATTTAAATAGAGGTGCCCTTGGGGCAGTGTATGCAGAACCCAGTGGAATAAATAAATAAATAAATAAACACAGGGCTCATGGGAGACAATAAATAAAATTGTGACAGTGATTACAATGATACAAAATTAGATTTACAAATTTTCACTGTGAAATCGAAATAATGACCTAGATCCAACACTCTGAAAAATCTTTTTTTCCTTTAGTCCGATTGAAAAGATCATGTCTAACAATATATGCTTTTTTCTGGCACCTCCTTCTCTTACTTGTTATAAACCCTTGAAGGAAAAAAATAAAGAACCTCTTTTCCCCCCAGGATTAGTTTCATCAAAGTTGTTTCTGACCTACGGTGGCATGAGTTAGATAAGATTCTGGCTTGCAAGGTTTAATTTTATGAGCTTGGGACTTAACGATGTTGAGAAGAATTCTCACAATTTAGAGAATGTTGTATCTGTTGTTCTCACTGGACATTGCTATATTGTTTCCTTATATTTTTATTTTCTTAATACTTTGTATTTAGTTTCACTGTGCTGCACAACAAGGCATTGTCTGTTAGGGAATGAATGTTCCTAGCATATCTTTAGAGTTGTAACAGCTCTTAATAACCTGAAATTTTTATAAATACAAATTTTGCATCTGGCTTAGTGCTTTTTTTTTTAATGATAGCAGTCCTCTTGTGTTACGCTTGATTGCCACCTGTTTTCTAAATTAAAAAATGTAAATGTGGCATTGACAAAGGTTAAAAAGATTTAAAGTGGGTTCTGTCAGCAGTGCATATGCACACCGAACTAACTCCTATGTATGTAATCAGTGTCCTCTGGACTGTGTGCCTTGCTCCATTGTTTACTCTCAAATCCATAATAATTTTGTATCCTTTCACTGGGCAAGATTCATTTCAGAAACTAATGAATTTAAAAATATGCTTTTCCCTTGTCCATTTTATACCGAGCCCTGCAATTTGACTTTCATTGTTTGTTTCCCTCCTTGTCTCGTCAATCCTTTTCTCTCTTTCTGTCCTCTTACTTTATTACATTTTTTATTGGGGACTGAGATGAACTGGTTACTGCATCATGGGCCCATTACACTTCCTAACAATTCCATTTACACCTTATTGTTTGTCTTATTGCTGGAAAATTCAGGTGATTCATCATGCCTGAAGAAGCACCTGATCCCAATTCCCTTGATATCACGATCACTATGTGACAGGAATGCAGTTAGTGGTGGCTTGCAGACTCTAAGAGGCCAAGGTGATAACTCTTTTGGGACTTTTAGCCTCTCAAGTATTGATGAGTTCCATTTTTGTAATGCTCTGTTTTCTTGCTCTCTTTCAACAGCCCCCTGAGTGTGGAAAAGGGGTTGGAGTTAATAAAGGAAGTGGCAGATCTCCTGAAGCTGCAGATGAGCGCCTTCGATGATGTCAAGTATGTACATGGAATTTACCCGTGTTTATTTCATTGGATTTTTCATTATTTTTGCATCGTTCGTCTTAGGAGGAAAAATCTTAATGCTAAAATTAATGAGGGCGTGCAAGAGGAAAAAACGAATATCACGATGATCTTTATGAAGTACATATATATATTATATATGCTTTATAATGTATATACAGTTAGTAACAAATTATT